TGAGGATCAAACCAGGGCCATGGTAAGCAAGTGATCTACCATTAAGCTACAACCTCAGCCCCTTTGGCTGTATTTTTGTTGTTGTTGTTCTGTTTTTTTAATTGTGGTTTTGTTGGAATTCTTTATTGTTGTTTTGTTTGTTTGTCTTCCTTCCTTTCTTCCTTCCTTTTCAGTACTGGGGATTGAACCCAGGGGTACTTTGTCAATGAGCTACATTCCCAAGTCATTTTTATTTTATCTTGAGAGAGAGTCTTCCTGATTGCCAAGGCCACCTCAAACTTGCAATCCCTCTGCCTCAAACTCCCAAGTCGCTAGAATTACAGACATGCATCACCATACCCCCTTACTTTATGTTTCTTTTTGCATTATGAGATAAAGCCCACATTTGTATGTATTTTCTTTTAATTTTACCCCTTCTTCCTAAAGCCAAATGCAAAGCCAAATGCAACCTCTGTTTGAGGTTTTCATGAAGATGGACTCTAGTTAATCAAGATTTGGCTATTCCTTATAGCACTATCATATATAGATTATGCATATAAAGACTACAGACTTAAACTGGGTGTTGTGCCCACACCTGTAATCCCAGTGACTTGGGAATTTGAGGCAGGAGGATCATAAATTCAAGAAAGCCTCCGCAATTTAGCAAGATACTGTTTCAAGATAAAATAAAAACAGCTGGGATGTAGCTCTTTGGCAAAGCACTCCTGGGTTCAATCCCCAGTAATGCAAAAAAAAAAAAAACATTAAAAAAGACTACAGGCTTGAGTTAAATGAAGAGCTGAAAAAATACATGTTAAATGAATTTTTTTTGTTTGGCTTCCAACAAACCTTGAAAGGGGAAGACAACAAGGCTTTAATGCCCCAAAATGTGTTTGAAACTAGGGGTTTTCAGAAAATCACCCTCAAAGCCACTGAAAATTATTGAACTTTGAGGATAGCTCTGTATAAGAAGAATGAGTGAATTCTCCATCACCAGTGAAGTTGTGAAACTGATGTTGTTTATTTTTAATATTTTTTTTAGTTGTCAGCCCACTGATGTTGTTTTGAGACTCCTGTGTTTTCCTGGAGGGATTTCCCCCAACCAAAGTTGAATTGTAGTGAGAATATCTGTGCTGATATAATCCTGGTCTGTTGGTTTTGTGGGGAATAAGGTTGGTCTCATTCTGAGAACAATCCATAGATAGTGACTCAGTTCTCTGAAAAACGACAGTCTGGTCAAGGAAAGAGGGTAGGTAGGTTATGACCATAAAGTCTAGTTTTGTGAACTTCACAAAGAGACAAATTAAATATTCTTGGCTTGGGCTAGAACTGTGGCTCAGTGGTAGCACACTTGCCTTGCATGTGTGAGGCACTGGGTTCGATTCTCAGCACCATATATAAATAAATAAAGATATATCAACAACTAAGAGAAAAATGTTTTTTAAAAAATTATTGCCTTTATGTGGTTTGTTAGTTCCTAGACCATCTGGGCAAGAACTTGCTCACTGCCAACCACCCTGTTTATTCTTTATCACAGTCAAAGCTTTTCATAACAATGCTGTTAGGCAGTGCTTGCCATTGCCCCCTATTGACAGATAAGGAAATTGAGGGTCTGAGAAGTTCCTCTCAGCTTTCCACACTTCCCTGCCTTCTGAGCTAAGCTACTCTCACAGATCTCCCAACATTTCACACTTCCACCCCACTCTCTCTGTTAACCCTCAGTTCTGGAATGGCCCTGTAGGTTCATGCCTTTGCTCTTAGACTGCTGAGCTCAGCTGATAAAACAAAGCACAGATATGCACTGACCATACTGAGTTATATGCTGTGTAACATCCATTGCCTTCACCAATACTGTTTGTCAATTCATTTGCTGTCTTATTTCTTATAACATCAATTCTGAACATTTCTACCTTATTTCAGTTCTCCAGTCCTGCTTCAAGAAAATGAGGCCACCTTATTCTCCTTATTCTTCTTGGAGAATATCTTTATCCTCTTCACTTGTGAATTCTATCACCTACCCCCTCCTCTCTGCCTTGACATTTCCCTACTCATTTTCTTTTGGATCAGAGATATGATTTGCCCTCCTCCATATTGTAGCTGTTGTAAACAGTACCACAATAAATATGGACATGCAAGTCTTTTTATGTTGATCACACTTCTTTTGGACATATACCCAGAAATGGGAAGACTGGATCATATGGTAGAGCCATTTTCAGTTTTTGAGGGACCTGCATACTGTTCTTAGTAATGGCTGTACTAGTTGACATTCCCACCAATAGTGTATGAAAGTTCCTTTTTCTCTACATTCTTGCAAAAAATTTGTTTTCTGATAATGGCCATTCTAACTGGGTGAGATAGAATCTCATTGTAGTTTTGATTAGCATTTTCTTTATTGTGAAGGTACTTGCATTTCTCATATATTTGTTGCCATTTGTATTTCTTTTTTTAGGGGGTACCAGTGATTAATCTCAGGGGCACTCGACCACTGAGCCACATCCTTAGCCCTATTTTGTATTTTATTTTAAGACTGGGTCTCACTGAGTTGCTTGACACCTCACTTTTGCTGAGGCTGGCTTTGAACTCGTGATCCTGCCTCAGCCTCCCAAGTGGCTAGGATTACAGGAGTGCACCTTGGCACCTGGCTTGTATTTCTTTTTGAGGAATGTTTGTTCAGATCATTTGCCTATTTTTAATTGGGTTATTTAGATTTTTGTTATTTTTTGACTCCTTAATATATTCTGGGTATTAACCCTGTATCAAATTAATACTTGGAAAATATTTTCTGTAGATTGTGTCTTCACTCTGTCAAATATTTTTCCTTTGTTATGCAGAAGCTTTTTAGCTTGATGTATTCCCATTTATCATTTTTTTCTTTTGATTCCTGTGCTGTTGCACTCCTATCCAGAAAATCATGGCTCACATGGATGTCTTGAAGTTTTTCCTATGAAGCTATATCTTCAACACTCAGCCAGTTTACAACTGTGCCATAATCTTTACTTTTTTGTTTATATAAAGCCTCAAGGCTAGCCAGAGGCGGGAGTTCATGGCCTATTTCCTGAGGGGACACACAGCCTTATCAATCTGTACAGCATTCCAGACTCCTAGGAATGTGTCAAAGCTTTTTAAACTTTCTATGGATATCTAACTCTTTAGCTTTTCCTTTTAAGATTCTTAGTCTCTTGTTTCCCAAAACTGTTACCCATTGCCTCAGACTTCTTCATAACACATATTTTCCCATCCTTGGGAGAGGCTTTTAGCTTTGGGTGATCAATAAAATACACTTTTTGAGTCTGGTCTTTCAGGGAACCACCAGAGAGGTCAAATGATGATGAGTGTTGTGAATGAACTCTGTCTTACTCACTGAGGCACCTGGAATGAGTTTTTTTTGTTTGTTTGGGTACTGGGGATATTGAACCCAGGGATGCTTAACCACTGAGCAACATTCCCAGCCCTTTCTTATATTTTATTTTGAGACACGGTCTTGCTTAGTTACTTAGGGCCTCGCTTTGAACTTGCAATCCTCCTGCCTCAGCCTCCTGAGCCGCTGAGATTATAGGCATACACTACCATGCCCAGCTAAAGTTTTATTTTCTGTTTTGTTTTTGTTTTGGTGGTGCTGGGGATTGAACCCAGGACCTTCAGCATGGTAGATGAGCATTCTACTACTGAGCCAAATCTCCAGTCCCAATGAGTTTTAGTTTCTGACTACCTCCAAGCTGGGAAAGGGGTGATGGGACCACAGTAAGTGAAAATGCCACAAAACTTACCGCTCTTACCAAAATGGTCATGTTTTTCTTTCTTAGATGCTTTCTGAGTTACTACAAATTTGGATAATTTCAAAATTTCAAGAAAAAAATGATATGTCAAAAATTATCTTATTGTTTTGATGAAGAGGTGAATTTTAGAAGATAATTTGTCTACCATTTTCACTGATATCATCCAATACCACCTTTGTGAGATTTCCAAAGTTCCTCTCAAGAGGACAAATAACAAAATTTCAGTTAAAAATTAACAAAAGATAGAATATATTTTCTTTTTTTAAAATTTATTTATTTTTAAATACATGACAACAGTGGAATGCATTACAACCTTTATTACACATATATAGCCCAATTTTTGTATCTCTGTATATAAAGTATAAGATAGAATATATTTTCTTATCCAAGTTTACAGACCCTCTGAACTTTACTCCCAGACTCCTTCAAGGTCTATGAACTTTGATTTAAGAACCCTGCCCTAGACTGATATGTGAAGGATAAACACAACACAGGACTTATCAGGATCATGAGGGAAGTATTAAGAAGTTCAAGTATAGACCCAACTGGCCTTGATTACTTCCTAATTTTCCTAGGGCATTCAGCTATTTACTTAAAGGGTATCAGGCCCTTGATTGAGCTCCCTTTTCCTTTCAGACTCCTCCACGCCACTCAAGACCAAGACTGAGGCACCTACAACCATTCAAATTCCCTTGGAAGGTAAGTTTTAGTGGAGTTCTATGGGAGTAGGAGAGTTCCAAAATGGTATCTTGGAAATCAAGACAGAAACCCCAATGCCATTGAATGAGGAACAAGAGGCCATTAGGTTATTCAATGAGAGCATAATAGAAAACGATTGGAACCAAAAGAAAGGTAACAAGGAGTTAAGGATGGTGAAGAAGTAGAATCATGAATGTATAATCTTTTTTGTGAAGACTTCTGAAGCAAAAGAGAATACTGTGATTTGTGTTTTGCTCCTAGTTTGACTTACTCTGTGTATATTACATCCCCTATATGTACCTTCTTTCAACTGACCACCCCTAATAGTAAGAAACAAAGATGCCTTACCAATAGTACTAGTGGTACTAGTGGTTCATGGCCAGCCACTCTTGAAAACCTAATAAAATTCCCCTAGACTGACCTCAACATTTTCAGAGGTCTCTTACCTCACAGCTACTGGCTGCAAGAAAGGCCCCCTGACCCTGATTCCCTATTGTCATAGAGACATCTATAGTGAACCCATCCCGGAACTGGACCACTGAAGTGAGTGACTATTTGGAGGACACAATTGCTGGGCCAGGTAAGAACAATGTCAAGACTTCTATCCTTCCTTCTTGATGCTAAGCTTTGTTTCCAAGACTTTCTACTATATAACTGTCCTGTGGCATTTAACTCTACAAACCATTAAATATCCTGTAGATGAGTAGTGTAGTTTTCATAGAGTGGAAGAGATATGTGCAAGGATGAGCAAAGTCAAACTGAGGTGAAAGGGGGGGTGACAAATGTATTCTTAGCTAGTTTCTTATTTCCATAGCAATAAACTTCCCAAACACTCTGAACAAAAATAGGAATAGGGCCACAACCTTAAGCAGCCTTCCTAGGGAAATGGACATTGGGTCAGGTAAGGATAATAGCAGTACCCCATACCCTGTTATTTGCGCTATCAACCAGACCTTTCCCCGGCAGCTTGCAGCTAATTTTTTCGTCTAAAGTCTCAAGGATTCCCAGGTAAGGGTCTCAGAGACTGAAATCCCAAAGAGAAGATTTTTTTTTGCACCTTTAACTGATAGTCAGCTGGTATGCACTGATATGACTGAGCTTACTTTTAAAATAATGAATTGCTTTCACACCACTTGATAATTAGCAGCTTCCCTTAAACCATGAGCTCCGCATTATAACTTGGACTATTATATCCCACCCTCTTGAACTCTCTAGACCACCTCATGATGCTGCAACAAAATTGTCAATTCCTGGTATACCAAGGGACCTCTAAGACTCCTGATCTATATCAGATAGCTGTTTTAATTAGTTGGTGTGAAATAGTTTGATGACACTCACTCCTAGTCTTATCCTTTAGCTCTGTATCATTGAGGATAGACTTCTGAATGTCTTTTCTACCTCACCCTGTTTGCAGAGCTCCCTAACTGTCTCTGAGCATAAACATAGTTGATTTGTGTGCTACCTTTGTATTGCTAATTTTGGCTCAAAGGTTTCCATACTTCGATGGTTCTTCCACGGAAACATCAATTGGAAGAAGGGAAATTAGAATATGCCTCTTGGTTTGGGATGATAAAAAGTTAACTCTGGGAGAAGTACAAGTTCTCAGATATTGGATCCATACTCTACATCATCTATCAAGGATTTTATTGTTTGATTCTCATCAAGGAGGTGTATTTCTTTGATCTGCACCAGCTTATAGCTTGGGCACTCTCACTCCTAACCAGAACCTTGGAAAACCACATATAACAGATTTCTAGGACAGAATACCATGGAATCTAGGAAAAAGAAAGCCAGTAACAGCAACAAATCTCAAAGGAAGGAATTCCTTTCCATACCCCTTTCTATCTCTTGATCTAGTCCCTAGATTAAGAATATTGTAGCCAAAAGTGCATTAGACATCATCCAAATGTTTCACTTAACTTATGGGGAAACTAAGGTCTAGTGACAGTCAAGGATTTGACAAGGTCACTGTTTTCATTTTTTATTGCTGCTGTAAAACGTATCCGAAACCTAGTATCTTAAAACAATATAAATGTATTATCTTACAATTCTAGAGATAAGAAGTCTAACACTGTTATTAGTGAGTTATAATCAAGGACTCAGTAGGATTGCATTTCTTCTGAAACCTTTGGGAAATAATTTATTTCCTTATCCATTCCACTTTATGGAAGCTGCCCACATGGCTCATTTCTCCCTTTCTCCATTTTCAAAACTATCAGTGTAGCATCCTCAACTCTTCCTCTGACTCTGATATCTTATGTTTCCTCCCTCCACTTTTAAATGATCCTTATGATTACATTGAGCCCACCCAGAGAATCAAGGATAATGTCCCCTTCTTAACACCAGCTATTTATCAACCTTAATTCTTTCTGTAACCTTAATTCCTCTTTGTAATATAAACTAATATACCCACAGATTCTGGGAGTTCAGATATAAACATCTTCAGAGAACCATTATTCTACCTCACCACTGCAAGTATGTAACAGAACCAGAACTAGAAGCTTAGTACAGTGGATTCTTTCAGCATACTGGAGATGTACCCCAGGTGGCACAGGGAATATATGTTTTGAGATAGAAGGAAGAAGAGAATTTAGAAAAGAGTATTATAAGGGAAAGAACATTTGTGACTAGAAGTAACTAATCAGAATCTCGTTAAGGTAGCATTTTGATGAAGCTAGGAAGTCCAGGTACTACTTTTTGTTTCCTTCTAAGAGAAGATAAACACTTCTTTCCTTGGTCCCATGGTAAGTATGGGGGTCTGGCTCAAATGCCCAGGCTAATCAGCCATCAACCAGTGGGTCTGCAAGAATTTGTTTATACCTGGTGTATAAGGCCTTTCCCAAATCTTTCTCATGGCACTGGAGTTTTGTCTCCTTGACTAACTAAGAAAGTAAAGAGAAGAAGGAAAGTGGAAAAGAAAAAGAATCCTGGTTTAATCTAGGCTCATCCTTACAGTTTTTTTTTTTTGCCTTATTTTTCAACCTTATATCACTTGGTCTTGTCTTGCATCCTAGGAAGGGGTCTTCCTATCTTTGCCATCATCCTCATCATCTCCTTGTGCTGTGTGGTGGTTATCACCATGGTTTATATCATGCTTTGCCGGAAGACATCCCAACAAGGTGAGTGACTTGATTTTTGGGTGGCTTTTACTTATTCTTTCTTTCTGGTAATATATTTAAGCTCTGTGTCAGACACTGTGTCGGGCACTTCAGTGAACCCCCAACCTACTGTTGGAGTGAGGGTAGAGGTGCAGATAGACATATGTTCATGCAAACAATAACATAAGTATTATGGAAATGAATGCAGAAATATTTGGCATCTCCTTGTAATATGTTACCTCATAAGGATGCAAAGGAATTTCCCTCAAGTTGCTTATAATTTATATAGAAAATTCAAGGTTGAAACATTAAACTTACCAATAACAAAACATAGAAATGAAAATTATGGAGTCAAAACCTGGAAAAGACAATACTACAATGATCTTGAGAAGAGGAGAGTCATTTAGGGCTCGAGTAATTAGCTAGGTCTTTCAGATAGCAAAACTTGGACCAGTCCTTGGAGAATGCAAACAGCATGTAAGGAGTTCAAATGTAAAACTCAAAAAGACAATTGAGTGTGAGGTCATCAATAAAGAGAATTGGAGCAATAGGGAAACAAGGAAAAATAAAAGTTCAAAGTCTAATTAAAGAGGACTTTGAATGCCAGTCTAAATGATTTGGACTTTCTTTACTAAAAGCTTTTTAGAAGTACTAAAAGTCGTCTAAGTTTTTGAGCAGAGAAGTGGCATGAGAAAGTACAGTTGTCAGAGCCATTTCATGACAATGGGCCAGCAGAGAAGGACAAAGAGAATTACAATATTTGTTTATAAGAAAAACCTAGGTAGAACTTAATGCCTGCTGTATTATGGACCTGACCCAATATTCATTAGCATTAGTTTCTCTCTTTCTCTGCATTAACCTGTACTTACAAAGAGCCTGTTTTCTATCCTGCATCTCTTTAAACAAAAAGAAGGGAGTCCTGAATATCTTATTCTCTGGATCTCAAGTATACTGGTCTTGGCCAGTAAGCATGGCTGTGACCCATGAGGATAAACATGGGAGTGGAGATACCTCAAATCCCAAGAGCCACAACCCAAGGATCACTAAAAGGAAAGTATTCATCATAGTCTTGATGAAGCTGGGCATAAATAGTAACCACATTAGCCTGTTTCCTTCTCAAAATGTTGCATGGCTCTTCAGTGCTAAGGGGATAGAAGTCAAAATGTAAAATTATATTCAAGACCCTCTGTGATATGCCTCTAGCCTGTATTTTCAACATGCACCATTCTCTTTTACCTATCCTCATGACCAGGTACTGCAGTCAAACAAATAGGCCGTATTCTTCACACCTTTATGCTTTTCCCCCTTCTTTGTTTGCCTTCCCAGAATGCCTGTTTTCTACCTCTCTATAAGGGAGACATCTTCAATGTATCAATTCAATTTAAAATATAGTTACTGACACCTACTGTGTGCCAGATTCCCGGAGTATAAAATAAAAAAAGACACAACCCCTATGGTGCTGAGTTCCCATGCCAAAGGGGCAAGTAGAACATGGAAATGTTAAGGCTTTACCGAAAGGCAGAAGGCTCTAGTCTTACCCCGTTTGTTTACTTATTTGTTGTTTTTAATGCATGCATTCCCAGTTGTTCCCCTGAAAATTGTAAGCACGCAGAGGGTAGTATCAAGAGATATCCATCTTTGTACCAAGCTAAGCCTTTGAGCCTGTATGGAATATAGGGAAATTTCCCTCCACAGACACTAGGGGGCAATGGTTACCTATTCTAGGGCCTTTCTAGGGTATGGGATGGGGGTGAGTGCACTTGGGAGTGGCTTGGGTCATAGTCCCTGACATCAAACTAATCCAGCCCCTTCTTCCTGGGCTGTGGCCCAGAAGTCAAGTTTCCCACAAGGACTCAGATTCTTGGGTGGAGAGCCTGTCGAGTTCCAGTGATCTTCCCCCACCCACACCAAGCAACAACTCCAGTCCAATATCCTGAGTCAGAGATGCCAAATAGAACAGTGATCAAGCATGCTTCCCCTTCCTTTATCTGACAAATCTGCATCCTTGTGCTTCAATGTATCTCCCCAATACCTCCCACTGTTGGAAATCTGAAACATAGAAATCCCCCTCTGTTCCCTTCCCTCATTTTTTGACTGGTATCCAGAGTCCATGCTTGACTCTTGTTCCTTGTCCATAGAAATTTCTGACCTGATTCCTCCTTCTTTTCTAGAGCATGTCTATGAAGTGAGCAGGTAAGATAGCATCTCCTTTTCCATCCTATAACCTCTTCCCTGTCCTCAGTTCTGTTGGTTATTGACAGGCAATATGGAGGAAGGTGGGATGTGTGGCAAAGATAGAGCTAGTCTTAACACCAATGTCCTTCAGTGACATGACACAGCTTTATATCCTCTCTGAGGCACCTTCTGAGGTTCTGCCCTAGATCACTGAAAGCACAAGATGATTTAGACCTACCAGCCTTCTGCCCCTAGAATTCTTAGGTGGCAAGAGCCTCAGAGTCAGTTGGTAAGAACTTAGGCAGATGGGTGAGAAACCAGGGTGTAAGCTCCAAGTCACTTCTCATGGAAGGTGGACTCTTGGACTTTAGGATGCCTTCCATTGAGGCCAGTGACTCTGGAGAAACCATGAGAGTGGCCATCTACACCAGTGGCTGTTCCAGTGATGAGCCAGCTCCCCGGGCTCTGGACAACAACTACTCTGACGATCCCTGCCTGGGCCAGGAGTACCAGATCATCGCCCAGATCAATGGTGACTATGCCCGCCTGCTGCACACAGTTCCCTTGGATTATGAGATTCTGGGCAATGAGGTTAAGAGTGTCTGCTAACAATCCCCTACTAGGTCAAATTCTGTTGACATAATTAACTATTCAGTATTCAGTCCCTGCCTTCTGCATGCCCCCCTTCTCTGCTATCTCTCTTCCTGGATAGTCCAAAGTGTCTTTCCTGCCAATGTTGCGGCTCCTGAGAGTGACTGGATTGCCTAAGAATTAGCCATATGCATCTCAAGAACGCTAGCTGTTGAGTTTGGCCCTGAGCCCTTCTAGTATCTCTTCCTGGGTTTTCCATTGCTCTTCTCCAAACACCAGTGAAACGCCAGCACTAGGACTTGGTCATCATGTCTCCAGATACCACCAGAAGACCAAAGGAGGCCCAACACTGACAGTTGGAGAAGGAGTTGCATCCAGGATCACTGCCCGTTCTCCAGGGATAGACAGCTTTTAATTGAGATTGTCGTGTCACAGGCTGGGGTTCAATTCTGCTCTTGCCCTGTGAGTCTAGTGCTTTGGTATTCCTTTGGTGCTCAATAAATATAATCATGATAGCAACCTCAGTTGTGTTGTTCTCTCAAGGTACGGTACTAACTAACAAGAGTGATCAAAATGGTTGGGGCCTGGCCTCTGCGATTACAGGTTACAACTTTGTATTTTTGATCTTCCCTTCCATCATGCCACTCCTATTTTACTCCACAGATAGCCCCAGCTGGGGCACAGTGAATCTTTGCTTAAACAGGACTCTACTGGTTTCCATTCCCATTCTTGTCATCCTGTCAGCTCTACCTGAATGACTTTTCCTGGGTCAACTAAAATTTTAACAAAGAAAGAGCTCTACTTCTTCCTCAGGGAATTATGGATGGAGAGATAAAAGGATTACCTTCTTTCCAAAGTATGTTTATATCATCCCTAAGGATTTCTACTTCTTTAAATCCTAAAATTTGGGGGTATTTATATTTTTCATGGGTCATTTTCTCTAGCTCCTGGCCCCTTCTTATAATGTGGAGTGGAGGTAAAAGCATTGAAGTCTTTCTCAAGCAGAATGGGACTAAGTGTGTGTGTGTGTGTGTGTGTGTGTGTGTGTGTGTATGTGTGTGTGTGAGTGTTGTGTATGCACCTTTAAATTGAGTTCTCCTATAAGAACATGTCCTGAGCCATATCTACACTGCTTCTTTTTCCCCATGTAGATCATGTGAAGTCAAAATCATTTTACTCTTCTTGAAATTGTCACATTTCTACTTCTCGTTCCAGGGTCAGGTCAGGTTTAGCAAGAGCTGCTTCCCCTGTGGGGTGATTACAGAAGTCAAAATAGTACACAAAAGTGAACAAGGAGGTGCCCTCCCATTTACCACCATGCAACCTGCCAAGTCCATGGTCAAAACCTCAGTGTTTTCCTCATCCCTAGATACTTGATTCACATAGCTGGTGAAAGGAGCAAATTCTTCTTCCCCATCACACTTATAAGCCTCTGAAACAGGGCTCCCCACCCAGTGGAAACCTCAGCTTCCTTCATGAAACAGCTCAGTGTACAGATCCCATAGCCTTTGAAAACACCCATTATCTTTTTCTACTACCTTAAAGAGAAAGGAATTGCTGGGGTTGAGAAGACAATCTTTGTTCTATTTCCACTGGTAAAATGAATCACAAATTCAGGGACCCCTCTCCAACCCCATAGGAATTTTGAAACTTCAGGAATATATCAGAGTTTCATCTTAAAGAACTTGGAGATTACTGATCCTAATAATCCCATATTAAAGATGAGGAAATGAGGGCCAGAGAAAAAAAGGGACTTGTCTAAAGTTACACATATACATCAGTGGTAGAACAGAGACCACAAGTTAGGCCGGTAAATTTCTAGAAGTATATATTTATTGCAGCAGGCACCTTCTGGAGTTCATATTTGTCCCCATGCTAAAAACTTTTTCCATATATGACAAGCCAGTAAGTGATTCCTAGGTATTACAATATGGGATCTATCTTAGGTAGCTGTCTGGTCAGGGAAAGTAGAAGAGTGAAAAGAAGGCTCTCTAGAAGGGAAGGAAGGTATGAAGTTTGTCTAGGGAAGTTTCTCAATTTTTAAATTTTTTTTTTAATTGTTGATGGACCTTTATTTTATATTTGTATGTGGTGCTGAGAATCAAACCCAGTGCCTCATGTATGTTAGGCAAGCGCACTAACACTGAGCCACAACCCCAGCCCCCTCAATTTTTGTTACATGTAGTATCAGGAGAATATCATGGAATATCATGAGATATCCCATGGGGAATAAAAGTTCCCCTGGACAACTGGGTTTGGTGGCAAATACCTGTAATCCCAGCTACTTGGGGGGCTGAGGCAGGAGGATCAAAAGTTCTAGGCCAATCTCAGCAACTTAGTGAGATCTTGTCTCAATATTTAAAATAATAATAATAAAGACTGGGGATGTAGCTCAGTAGCAGGATATTTGCCTATGTCTGCCTAGTATATATGAAACCTTGGGTTTAATCCCCAAGACCACAAATCAAAACAAGAAAATTTCAGTGGAGAGATAGGCATAGGGAAGGCTTCATTCCAT